AGTAATTATGTATTTTAGAGTAAATGCAAGTAACAAGGTTCATTTGGAAGATAAATTTTGAACTACAGATTTTTTAAAGAGAAAAAAATGTGAAGATGTTTAACTATTCCACCTGATTCGTCATCAACCACACATGACCATTTAACAGGATCACACAATTCGGGAGCTAGACCTTAAGGATCACTTAATCTAATACCCTTACCTTATAATAAAATCATTTTCCATTTTTTTCATTATAAAAAAGATCATTTGTCCCCAACTATTGGTTCCTTCTACCTAATACATGGCTTACCCCATACCACTTTAGAAGTTTTAGAAGTTCTTACTAAATAAAATCTCACAAAAATGATACTGTATAAAATACTTTGAATAAGCTATAAAGAAACAAAGGGAAATGCTCCAAAATAAAATATCAAATGCACTGAAAGACTAGTTGTTTGGGGGAGGACTGGGAGGAAAATGTGGTGACAATGCAACTTACACTAAAGTAAAAACAGTGGGGCCAGCAGGTGGCATCATAGTTAAGGTGCTGAATCCCCATATGGCCAACCATGGTTCAAGTCCTGGACCTGGTGTTTTGAAATGGATGCTGGGTGCATGTGCATGTGTGCCCAAAATCCCAAAAGGAGAATGGAAGAGAAGGGATGGCGGCAAGGGCATCTGCCCTAGGGGAGTGGTTTTCGCTTTCTGTCTGTCTCTCCAGCAATCTCATACACCCTGTAGCAAAAATCAATCTCTCTTAAAAAACAAAAAAAGTAAAAACAGTTTTAGACCATGAAAATTAGATACATACATGGTAGATATTTGTATTTCAATATTCCTACACTCTGGATTCATTATCATTTTCTTACAAAGTATCAGAAGGGGATGATGCTATTAGAAAATGAATCTCTTAAGCCCAAACCTACGATTTTGTTTTGAAATTAATTCTAGTTTCCGAGATATGGATTAGTTTTAGCACTGCCAATTTTTATCCACTCAAAAAACAACAAATACTTACACTTCTAATAAAATATTGTGCTACATGAAAAAACAATAACTGGGGCCGGCAGGTGGTGTGGTGGTTAAGGGCACTGGACTCCCACATGGGCAGCCACACTTTGAGTCCTTGACCCAGTGGCTTGTTTTCCCACTGTCCCTAACTTCTCCCCACTCAATCTGTCCCTCTCTGGTCAAATTTAAATAAATAAATAAATAAATAAATAAAGTAATTATTTGTAAAAAATAAAATAAAAATAAGCAAGAAACTAACAACATTATGACCTTTATAATCTGGGTCCTCAATTTCCTCATCTAAGAATAAAGGAACTGGGGCTGGCAGATGGTGTGGTGATTTAGGTGCTGGACTCCCACATGGCCAATCGTAGTTCAAGTCCTGGACCTGGCAGCTTGCTTTCGCACTCTCCTTCTCTTTCTCTCTCTCTGATCAAACTGAATAGAAATAATAAATGAATAAAATTAAATAAATAATTCTTTTAAAGAAAAAAAGAATAAAGGAACTAAAGATTACCTTCCAGCTCCTAGAATCCTGATGATATATTATCTAAGCAGAGAAATTTCAATTTATTTTAAAATAGGTAATGTTGAAGGCAGCACTACCAAAACCTGGTAAGAACTAAAGTAATTATCACTTGTAATAATAAAGAAAATAAACATAAAATGGCCTTTGAAAAATTAATCACCCTAATTCACTCTCCAAATTCCACCTCTCCTTAGATAAGACAGCATTATAAATGACCTTAGAGGTCCCATCCTGAAACTTGTTATAAATTGAATTTTCTTAATTATCTTCAATGATAATATACTAAGGCTTTTCATATTCCACAAAATAGAAAAACTATACTAACTATAGTGAAACTCCTGTAAGAGGTTTATCTTATTCTTCTTTGCACCCCATGGTAACCAGTACCCCAGTACAACCTAACTGATGGCAATTAAACCATCAAGGGTTACCCTGCTCCTCTCCTTACATCACCATTACAAATGCCATATTACTTAGTATAGTTTAAACTGTCCATTCCAACCCTGCCAAACTCATTTGTGGATGTCCTAACCCCAAGTACCTCATAATGTGACCTTATTTGGAAAGAGGGTCGCCACAGATGTAGTTAGTTAAGAAGAGCCTATACTGTAGTAGGGTGGACTCTAGTGCAATATAACTGGTATCACAAAAAAAAAAAAAAAAAACACAGAAATTTGATACAAACACACACTTAAGGAAAACACTACGGACATGAAGATGACCACCTGCAAGCCAGGGAGAGAGCCCTAGAAAGTTTCTCTTCACAGACCTCAGGGGGAATCAACCCTGCATACATCTTTTCCTTAGACATCTTGATCTGTAGACACTAACTGCCTATGGACTAGGACACCCAGTTTGTGTTACATTGTTATGGATGCTCTACTAAACAAGCAGATTACAACATAGCAGCTAAAGAGTCAAATCAAAATACCAACACAACCAAAATCTCAAAACAGCACCTCAAATTTCAATGCATGGCCAACAATCCTAACATATCACACACCTTTCAGAAGCTAAAAACGCCACTTTCATATAGACATGAACATTTTCCTTATTGTACACTGAATTCAAGAGATTCGCTGTCCCTTCCCCATTCCAACACCAAACACTGCCAAGGATGCATGAAATCCCTGCGTCAACCCATGACAGCTATATGGGAAAGAGAAGAAAGCCAGATAACACATCAATTTTTAGTTTTTGTTTTGTTTTGTTTTGTCAGAGGGTGGGTACACTTGCACTTGTCAGAGAGAAAAAGAGAGGAAAACATCCCCTGGTTGGGCCATAGTCATATGTCACAATGTCTTCTCCATTCCTCCATCTAGTCAGGAATTGGGGTGCAAAAACACAAGTACCATATAGGTTAAGACACTGCACTCCCACATAGCTGACCATGGTTCGATTGCCAGACCCCGAAGCTTGAAACTCACTGGGCAATGGGGCCAATGGGTAGCATAGTGGTTAAGGACACGGGACTCCACATGGCCAACCACAGTTCAAGTCCCAGACCTGGCAGCTTGTTTTCTCACTCCCTACCCCCCACCCTGTCTCTATCTTTGCTCTCAGTCTGTCCCTCTCAAGAAAGAAAAACTAGGGAACCAGTAGGTGGCATGGTAGTTAAGGCGCTGGGCACTCCCAAATGTCTGATTACGGTTCAAGTTCTGGACCTGGTAACTTGCTTTCTCACTTTCCCACTTTCTCTCTTTCTCTCTCTGTATCTCTCTCTCTGGTCAAATTAAAATAAATGAATAAATACATAAAATTAAATAAATAAGCCTAAAAAACAAAAAAAGAAAGAAAGAAAAATAAGAAAAGAAGAAAGAAAGAAACAAACAACTTTTATCAGGCACATGTGCACACATGTCCAAAATCTTAAGAGGAGATTAGAGAAGGGATTGCAGCATGGCCAACCCCCCTTGGGGGTGATTTCTTACCTTCTCTCTTTCCATCTCTGTCTCTCTGGTGAGTACTTGCACTCTGGCAAAAATCTTTCTTAAAAAAATAAAAGAATGAACACATGCACCCAATGTGTTTTTCAAGCCATGGGTTGGGATTTGAACTATAGTCAGCCATGACAACCAGTTATAACCCTTAATCACTGGGCAGTCTAATATATCCATCTTTTGAACCAGAAAAAAAACACTGTTAGCACTGTCCTTGAGTAAGAAGGAAAAGAGTTCAGCTAAACTAATAGCAAAACTCTTCCTCATTATGTTCTTAAAGAGATATATAAACAGTATTATTTTTAATAATAAAAATAATGATTTTAAGCTTAGCACTTTAAAAATATGTATAATTACATTTAAAAATAATTAAAACTTAGGCCAGCAGGTGGCATAGTGGTTACGTTGCAGGATCCACACAAGGCTGACCATGGTTCAAGTCTCAAAATCTAGAGGCTTGAAAACCACAGCAAATAAATAGATAAATAAATAAATAAATGTTTAAATAAAGAAGAAAAAAGGAAAACTTTATCACTCTAGCGTATTTTGTCATAATAGGATAGTGTCCCACACAAGGTCCCAGATAACTAGAGGAAGGAAATATATCCTGGCAGACTCCAATTTAAATTATTCTTAAAAAGACTCAAAGTGTTTGCCTTGTTTCTTTATTTTGTCCAATCAACCTCCTCTTTAGTAGCTGATTGTAACACATCATATGTCAGAATTCTAAGAACAAAAGATTTAAGAACAGAAATCCAACAATTTTATAAGAGTATTATCAATCATTCATGGCATCCTGACAGTCAAAAAAAAAAGATTCTCTTACAAACACACACAAAAGAACAGAATTTGATCAATAAAAAGACAATTCCAATATCCAGTTATGAAGATTCAAAACACTTTACTTTCTTTACCCAGCTAATTAGTTGTAAACAGAAAGCACAATGGAAAGATGTACAGTTAATACACAGAGTCTAAGAACAATTTGGAAAACATTAACCCCCATTTAAGGAGAAAAAAATGAATATTAGATTTTTGCTCTTTCAAATTAAGCTCACTGAATTAATTCAGTCTAGAAAAGTGATCCGTGGAAGAATTTGTATTCGATCTTGTCACAGTGCATTTCAGTGATTTAAGCACTTTTTAAAACAAAATCACTATTCCATATCTATATAATCCACAGAAATTATCGTAACTGTATAAAGCAGGCAACGTAAAGAAGGGAAAAAGTCTCAGGACTGACACAGCAGATGAAATAAGCTCCATTTCTCTTGCTTCTGGTATTAACTACAGGTGTGACCACAGGCCAGATCACTTAACCTCTCAGGACCTTGGCTTCTCATCTATAAGGGAGTTGGACTTAATTATCTCTATGGGTCCTGTGATTTCTCAAAATTCCCCCCCCCCAAAAAAAAGAAAAAAACTATAGATCTTTGAACCTGAAATATGTCATTTAGAATCCCTGATATATCTTTTACATACTTTATGTGATCAAAATGAATGCATGAGTTATTTAACTGAAAAACAGCATTTCTCACCTGAAAGCTTATTGTCATGCAGCAAATTTCGAAGCTTACTGCAGAGCTGAATCATGCTGTCCAACTGTCTGTTTATCTTGACATCTTGAATCCAGGCGGGGGTATAGCACACTGGACATCCGGTTCCAATGCAGTCACTTACACAATTGCTTAAAAATTAATAATAAAGAGTTTGAATAGAAGTGAAGCAACAGTTGTTCTAACACACAATGGTCATGATAAAAATACTTGTTAAGGGAACCAGCAGTTAGCATAATGGCTATGTCGCTGGACTCCCATGTAGTTGACCGCGGTTCGCGTCCCGGACCCGGTGGCTTAAAACTCACGCTGGGCACGTGTGCGTGCGTGCCCAAAATCCCGAGAGGAGAATGGAGGAGAAGGGATTGCGGCATGACCATCCCCTCTGGGGGGTGATTTCTTGCTTTCTGTCTCTCTGTCTCTCTCTTTCTGGCGAGCGCATGCGCCCTATAGCGAAAACCTCTCCAAAAAAAAAAATACTTGTTAAAATAGCATTTTAGAGAAGATGATACACACATATAAAATCTGAATCTGAAGTTGTTGATGTAATTTGTGGTAGAGACTTCATTTATCCTGACATCTGTCTACATAATTTTTCTCTGCAAATAAATCTATAGCTTCTGAAGGAGGAGAGTACAGAGAGAGATGCAAACTAACAGATATAATGTCTAATGTACAATGAATCTCAACTTTCCAATCCTAGCCTAAACTACACTAGTACTCTTAGCAGTCTGCTATATACATTCTGTAATGTCTGACTTGTAACTATCCTCACATTATTTGATATACATTAATACAGAATTCTGGAGAAAAATGTCAGTTCTCAATAGACTTATGTATCTCAGTAAGTCAACATTTCCCAAATGACCCATGCATGATATCATCTGAGTAAGAAGGTCAATTCAAAAGACTGTATAAACCAATGGAATTTAACATAACAGACTACAAAAATTCACTGATGCAGTTTCAGATTTCACAATATGACAAACCTAAAGAAACTACACCAAGAAGGATATCCACATTGATCGAAAAAGGCTACTAAAACATTTCTTTTTCCTGGGGCCAACAGATGGCATAATGGTTATGCTGCTGGACTCCAACATAGTCGAGGGTGGGTCCTGTTCCTGTCCCAGACCCAGAGGTTTAAAACTCATGCCTGGCATGTATGTGTGTTCCCAAAATCCAGAGACGAGAATGGAGAAGGAATTGTGGTGTGGCCATTCCCTCAGGGAGTGATTTCTCACTTTCTCTCTCTCTGACTCTCTGTCTCTGTCCCTGTGGTAAGCCCACATCCCCTAGTGAGAGCACATACCCAATAGCAGAAATGTTTCTTAAACATACACACAAACACACTCACACACACACACACACACACACACAAAGGAACACATTCACTCCAAGTGCTTTTCAAGCCACTGAGGCTGGTATTCAAACTGCAGTCACCTATGTGTGATCTCTCTCTCTTAACCACTAGGCCAGCCACACATATCCATGTTTTCAACCAGAAAATAAGCACTATCACCCTGGACTGTGATTTCTCACTTTCTATCTCTTTGCTTATCCAGTGAGTACACGTGCCTTATAACAAACATCTTTCTAAAAATAAAAATGTTTTACAAAAGTCCTTTTTCCAACTATAAATATGTGTAAAGTCTGATTTTCTTCACATACGTAAACCAAAAAGAATCACAACCAAATGAATACATAAGCAGATATGATAACCTAGCCAGTTTATATTCGCCAAGACATTTAAGAGATTAGCAAAAACATACAAGAGTCATTCTCATCACAACTTTTTCCTTAGTTTATACAACATTTTTTTTTTGAGAGTTTTTTTCGCTACAGGGCGTGTGTGAGAGTGACATAGAGACAGAAAGCGAGAAATCACCCCCCAGAGGTGATGGTCACGCCGCCATCCCTTCTCCTTCATTCTCCTTCTCGGGATCTTGGGTACACACGTACACGCGCCCAGCGTGAGTTTTAAGCCACCGGGTCCAGGACGCAAACCACGGTCGACTACATGGGAGTCCAGCGACATAGCCATTACGCTAACGGCTGGTTCCCTACAACAATTATTTTTCAAAACAAACAAAAAAATCTATTATTGGTATTAGTTCATTAAAGGTTTATTATTATTTTTAAAATAACAAACTAGTATTTTTTAAGTCTCAGTTTCATATAGTAAATACACACACAACCTCCTTATTGTCTTTCTTCAATCCTGAAGAGTTTAAGGCTATCTGAGCCCAAAATGTTACAGTTCCCTGTCTCAAATTTTAAATAAAGTATATCATAAAGGATTACATGGACTACTTTTATCAGGGATTAACATAAAAGTATCATGAAAATACAATAATGCTGTCAATATTATACTAAAAGCTGTGCCTCTCCACCTTGCCCCCTACTTCTATGTTTTTGTTGGATTGAAACCTAAGTAAAAGCCATCTTTTAAAAACTCCCTGCTGGGTCAGCCTGTGGCCTGTTGTTTAAGGTGAGCGGATCCCACATGGCCAACCGCACCATGCAAGTCCTGGACATGGCAGTTTGTAAAGTACACTGGGCATGTGTGGGCACGTGCCTAATCCTGAAAGGAGCAAGAAATGCAGAAGGGATGGTGGCATGACCATTCCCTATCACATTTTCACTTTCACTCTTCCTTTCTCTTTCTCATTCTTTTTCTCTTATGAGTGTACACCCTCTCTGGCAAGTAAATATAAATAACTTAAAAAAAAAAAAAACCCTCATTACTCCTTCACTCAAAATCTGCAAAGAATATCAACAGCTGCAATCAAAATGAACCAAAACTGCACTGAGGGCTAGCACCCCAGACTAGTGTTTAAGAAAGGTGTATCTCTCCTGGTCAACCACACATTTGAGTTGTAGACCTGATGGCTGGAAAGTAACATTTCAAACGCTACATGCATGCATGCCCAAAATCCTGAGAGGATGGAGAAATGGGAGAAGAGACTGCAGCCTGGCCATGCCGCATTGAGGGGTATACTTTCTCTCTCCCTGTCTCTCTAAAGAATGCACACATCCTCTGACAAATTAAATACAAAAACAAAAACACTGCAACTTGGGCCCAGTTCCTCTGATTCAGTGTTAATTCTGGGCCCTGAAAAGCTGGAGGCCAATTAGCAAACCATGGGTTTGGATCCCGGAAAACACACCAGGTGCATACATAGACACTCAGGACCCTAAGAACCTAGAGAGCTCGGAAAAGGGGACAATGATGTGATGACCTCATGAAGAGGTTAAGGTTGCTTCTCTGTCATGTGTGTGCCTGCTGTCATTCAAAAGAAAACAACAAAAAGCCTGCACTGAATGGATTATTTCCTACGTGCATGTCATATACACATGATCACTGTCTTTTAGATGTTCTTTTCTTGCCTCTCTTAATCTTTTGTTGGGCTCTTGAAGTCACACAGTCACACCGCCTTTCAGAATCTAATTTAAAGTATGGGTCCTCACCCAACACACTCTATATACAATTTCATGGAGCTCTTAATGCTCCAGCACCTTTTTATAATACCTCTGGTGTACAGTGAGCAAACCCACCGTGCCTCCGCTGAAACAAAGTAAATCTGCTTGCCATGGGGGGACAGAGAGCAGGCATCCCTTCACTGGGATCAGGAGACATTCTGTCTCACAAAAGTCTGTCAGAAACATAGACTTTTATATTTTTGTTCTATGTGGAAGAAACAGCAAGTACAAAAGTCTTGGACAGGTGAGGTTGGTGCATTTCATGAACTCAAAGCATATGGTGACTGGAATAGTGTGAGCCAGAGGGAAGTGAGATCTGAGAAGCAGGCAGGATCTGGGTCCTCCATAGGGTCTCGTGAGCACAGAGCGTGGATTTTATTCTAATTGCAATACAAAGTTATTGAAGGATTTTAAGCAGGGTTATCGTATGGCAAGGATTTACCTTTTTTAAAAGATGACTGTTGGATAGAGCCAGCAGGTGGTGTGGTGGTTGGAGCACTGGACTACCCACATGACCTACTGTGGTTTGAGTCCCAAACCTGGTGCCTTGCTTTCTCACTTTCTCTTTCTCTGTCTCTCTCTGGTGAGTGTATGTGACCTGTGGCAAGTTGAAAAATAATAACAATAATAAATTCAATTAAATAAATAATTCTTATTTTAAAAAAACAAAACAAACAAACAAAGAAAACCACTGTAGTCAGCCGGTGGCATGGAGATTAGGCACTGGAACCCACATGGCTGACTGTGTTGGTTGAGTCCTAGACCCAGTTGCTTCAGGAGCACTCTGGGCACGTGTGCATGTATGCCCAAAATCTGAAAAGGAGAAAGGACTGTAGCCTTGCCATCCCCCTGGGAGGTGATTTCTCATTTCTTTTTCCTCTCCCTCTGGTAAGTGCCACACATCCTATAGCAAAGACTATAAAAGATCATGGTCAAGAATACAAAAAATGGGGATGACATTGCCAAAAAGGGAGACCAATTATGAGCTATTATAATACTCGAAGAGACATTGTGATGGCAGCTTACACCAAAGAGTAAACAGCAGTAAATATACGAAAAAGTGGAAAAATTCATGATCCAGGGCACATTTTGAGGTGGAACTGACTGAATTTGGTGATGTGGGATAAGAATGAAAAAGCGCCATCAGGTATCAGTTGTGGATTTTTTGCCTTAGGGACCTTTGTAGTCAGTGGCACCATTTAGTGCGATGGAGAGGACTCACACAGGAGTAACCTGAGGGAGAGGACGGTGCAGACACCTGCTCTGAAGAGATCAAGCTGAAATGACTTTTTGGCATCCAAACATATTGGATTCTCAGAGAAGTCATGATGTACTTCTATTTTTTCTATGCAAAAATGTGTCATGACTTTTCTGATAACCCAACAGATAACATAGGTATCAGGTCGGCAACAGGTACCATCCATTCCCCATCCTTCTGGATATGTCCCACATAACACACGATGTTTCTAGAAACAAAACTGGGACCTCAATCATAGTAGCCTCTCACACATACACACTCAGCCCACGCAAGTCACCACTAAATCACTTTCATATAAACTCTGACTTCATAATGTGGTTTGTTCAAGCCAGATAGTCACATCCTCATAACTTGAAATAATTAAAACATTAATTCAAAGGGGGCTATATTAACCCTGTGACATAAATAATTAAACTGAGACAATTGGTCCCTCAATTGAATTCTCCTCAACAAGTAGTAGGATGAGATGAAAATAGAATCTTCTAATTTATTTATTTATTTATGGAGAGGTTTTTGCTGAAGGGCGCATGTGCTTGCCAGAAAGACAGAGAGAAAGCGAGAAATCACTGCTGAGGGGAGATAGCCATGCTGCAATCCCTTCTCCTCCATTCTCCTCTCAGGATCTTGGGCACGCATGCACACACACACCCAGCGTGAGTTTAAGCCACCAGGTCTGGGACTTGAACCATGGTCGGCTACATGGGAGTTCAGCGACATAGCCATTACACTAACTGCTGGTCCCATCAGAATCTTCTAATTTATAAGCCAAAGTTTTCACATTTCACATGCACTACTAATTTCATGATTACTGTCATAGGCTAAACTGTGTCCACTGAGAGGATGTTGAAGTCCTAAGTCCATTACCTGTGACTGGAGCCTATTTGGAAACAGGGTCTTTGTAGATTTTGGAGTTGAAATGATGTCGTAAGGGTGAGTCCTAATCCAATATAATTGGTATTCTTATTTAAAAGGAAATATTTGGACACACACACAGGACAATGTCATGTGAACATGAAGATAAAGACTGAAGTAACACATCTACAAGCCAAGGAATAGCAAAGACTGCCAGCAATCCACCAGAAGCTAGGAGGGAGGCATGAAATGATTCTCCCTCACATCACTGAGAGGAAACTAGCCCTGCCAACACCTTAAGTGGAACTCCCTGCCTGCAGAATTGTGAGATAGTAATTGCTGTTGTAAGATATCCAGTTTGTGGTACTTTGGTATGGAAGCCCTAGGAAACAAATTACAATCATCTGAGGAACTAGACTTTCATAATTTTGAAAGTATAGACTCAAAACTTAACTCAAGATTTTTAAAAAGACCCAATTGGGTCAAGCCACTGTGGCGCACGCAGGAGGAGGCTGCTCTATTGTTATTGAGGCTACATGGAAGCCTAGATTTGGTTCTCAGCTCAGCCTAAAACATGTCAGGTGCAGTGGTGTGCACCTGTGGTTCTAGCCAACTGGGAGGCTAGGGAAGGAGAATTACAACATGGTGACACCTTGTCAAAAATACCTATCTTGGGGGACCAGCAGTTAGCATAATGGCTATGTCGCTGGACTCCCACGTAGTCGACCATGGTTCGAGTCCCAGACCCGGTGACTTAAACTCACGCCAGGCGCGTGTGCGTGCGTGCCCAAGATCCCAAGAGGAGAATGGAGGAGAAGGGATTGCGGCGTGGCCATCCCCCCAGGGGGGTGGGGTGATTTCTCGCTTTCTGTCTCTCTGTCTCTCTCTGTTTGGGGAGCACACACGCCCTATAGCAAAAACCTCTCAAAAAACAAAACAAAACAAAAAAACCTATCTTGGATTCTAGAGGGGGACATAGTAGCAACACCACTGGACTCACATGGAAAGGTCCCAGGTTCGTAGCCCAGAACCTTCTTTACACACCAGGCCTACACATGTGCCCATCATCCAGGCTGGCTGAGCTGGGGAGGACAGTGGTGTTAAGATTTTGTTGTGGGTGTCTATCTCTCTCCTCTCTTCCTGTCTCTCTCATAGAAGAAATAAATTAAAATAAAAGTCTTTCTCACTCCCTCCCGTAAATGCTCTTGCTATAAAATATATATATATTTATTTTCTCCAAAAAGCTTATGAAGCTATTTACTCACTAAGTCTGTAACTTTAGACAAGCCATCTTCTTTGAGCTTTTATTTATTTTTTCATTCACAAATTAAGATAGTTCTAAGGATCAAAATGGGGTAATGTACAATAAATTACTTTGCAGACTATGAAAGTTACACAAACATAAAGTACTATTATTATCAATACGATCATGTGATCGTTATCTAGTAAAAAAAAAAAAAAAAATTTACGCTGTATACATATACTCACAATTACTTACCTACAGAAGATGTGCTCACACCCTCCTAAGCACACAGGATCCCGCAGAATATTACTGCTGTTTGAAGAAAGGAAACAATCAAGACTTAGATATTGTTGGAGAAACATTTCTGTGCCCAACATTTAATTAATCCAAGGCCCAATGCTACCTTATTTCTCTTTCTCCAAGTAGGAGACATTAAAGATGTATTGACTTGAAAGGGAGTCACTCTGTCATACATTATAACACACTTGCTGAATTCAAACAGTAACTACCAAACTCAGCACAAACTGTAACACTTATCATTTATTTGCTGGGAAGTCAAAGTAACAACTTGTTCAAGCCATCTCTAAATCTTAGAGACAAAACCATCCACTGGCTGTTTCTTTCAAAGACTAAGGTACATCTTAATCTAATGATTTAAAGTGTACCAGCAAACACAACAACTATATAACATGTTATCCCAAAGAGAACACTTCTGAAAGTAAAGGGGAGAGGACACTGCCGAGGACGCTGGGACAAGAGAAGTAAGCCAGGATCACCCCAGGAAAACCAGGGTATCCAGCCATCCAGCTGTAAGAACCCATGATCTCTCATTAAAAATCCTGTTTCTCACTATTGTTAAGTAGTTATCTATTTTCCAGTATCTTGTCAAAAATAAAGCCACTCTTTCAGTTCATAGAAAATTGACTGCTTTGTTCCTTAAGCAATTGCAAATAGAAATCATCAGGTTGTCAGTCTACAGACTGACTCAGAATCACTGCATCAAGGAAGAGAAAGAGAAACAGAATATTCCCAACATTGTCCATCAAAACACTTGCTACATCTTACAGTCCAAAGATAGTAGTACTTATTAATAAACACACATCAAGTACTTATACTCAGTGGACCTAATGTAGCAAAAAAAAAACACCAAAGAAGTAAAGCCTTAAAGGATGTACATTTTTTTGAATTTTTATTATTATTTATTCAATGTATTTATTTTCTTCAATTTGACCAGAGAGAGACAGAGAGGGAGAGAGGAAGCATGAAAAAGCAGGCCACCAGGTCTAGGACTTGAACCGTGGTTGGCCATATGGGAGTTCAGCACCCCAACCACCATTCCACCTGCTGGCCCCAAGATGTACATTTTTTTGTGCTTAGTTTATTACACTAACCGTAGGACCTTTAGGTATTTACACCATTATTAGTCAATTTACCTGTCTATACACATATCACATTATCAATAAAAAACAGTCCTCCATGCTTCTTGAAAGAACAGAAGATATCACACTGCACATTTCAATAAATATGAACATGAAAGTGAAACTAAGCTTTCAGAAAGAACATTAAAAACAAGAGTACAGGGGAACAGCAGATGGCATAATGGTTACACTGCTGGACTCCCACATAGTCGACCATGGTTTGAGTCCCAGACCTGGCAGCTTAAAAATCACCAGACATGTGCATGCATGCCCAAAATCCCAAGAGAATGGAGAAGAAGGAATTGTGGCGTGGCCATTCCTCGGGGCATTTCTGTCTCTCTGGAGAACGCATGTGCCCTACAGCAAAAATCGCTCTCTTAAAAAAAAAAAAAAAGAGTACTTAGTAAACACAAGAATCATGGTGGTAGACATATTTGGATACGCACACAACAAGATGCTGAAAATGGTGTTCAACTGACATAAAACACAGTTTTTTGTTTATATCACAATAGTTCATTTTTTCTATCATACTACATAGAACATACCTATAAAAATAGGACTGTTGTGATTCTGGCAATTAAGATGACCTCTTACAACGCTCACGCTGCTCCTATTTTTGTTCATTTATTGACTGAACACACCTAAACCTCCTCCTTCCCAATCAAGTGTGTCGAATTATACCTCACTGCAATCTCTGCCTCCAAGATCTCACAAGTGGCATTACCCCACGTCCTCCTATCACAGCGGCCTTCCTCCATTTCTTGTACTGTATCACCTGGCCGAACCTCCCCCTGCCGCTTGGTCCCCACCTTGAGAGAACTCCATTCAGTCCAGAAGCTCCTGCGGTTCCGACCCCACTCAGGCTAGGGAGTAAACTACTTTGTAAACATCTTTGCCACTCCTAAGTCCACCGACCCACATGACACTCAAGGATGCCAACCTATAATACTAGAGAGGCTGTAAGTGTCCAGTTTTTCCCTGCCTGGTCAGGCTATGAATAACCACGATAAAAAGGCAGGAAGATGTACAAACTTGATTCCATAAACTTATTGATAACTTCTTCATCTTTCTAATTCCATTATACTAAAGTGACGTATTAGATGGTCTCTCGGTAAACAAATGGAAGGATGGCTATTCAAAATAATCCCCATGCTCCTGAGTCTCATTAACCTTACTGGAGCTATTGAACAAATGGCGTGAGCTTGTCAGCATTGAAAATACTCCTGCCTGATGGGACCAGCAGTTGGCTGAATGGATATGTCGCTGGACTCCCATATAGAGGATCGCAGTTCAAGTCCCGGAACCAGGGGCTTAAACTCAAGATCCAGAGAGGAGAATGGAGGACAAGGGATGGTGTGTCCATCCCCACTCAGAGGCGATTTCTCACTTTCTGTCTCTCTGTCTCTGTCTTTCTGGCAAGCGCACATGCCCTATAGCAAAAACCTCTCAAAAAAAAAAAAAAAAAAAGAGAAAGAAAATACTCCTACCTCTTTACCAGGAATCTCCCTCCCTTCAGTCTCGGAAGAAAAGATCTTCATTCATTCTTCCACTTTAAGATATGCTGCTCTGTCTGTCTCTAGCTATCATATCTTCCCATTCTCCTAAGGACTCATCATTATAAGGATTCTCATCATTGTAGTTACCTTCTTCCTCCATTTGTATCTATCATGCCCAGATAATTTCTCTTTCCACATAAGGATAAAAATAAATAAAGACTTCTCTTTAATATTGCCTCCCATTCTACCTTCTGCCTCAGCTCTTTTTTTAAAAAAATGTTAAACCTTGTCCATTTATTTATCTATGTTTAATTTGACCAGAGAGGGAAAAAAAGGGAAAAGGGAGAGACAGGGAGAAAGCAAGCCACCAGATCCAGGACTCGAACCGCAACTGGCCACTTGGGAGTCTAGCGCCCTTAACCACCACGCCAGGGGCCAGCCCCAAGCTCCTCCTCTCTTGAACAAATAAAGTTAAGGTGCTCTAGCTCAGCTAATTCCATTCTAACCTCTCTATCTTTTAACTCCTACCTGGTCCTCATTCCCTCTGACCTCTCTAGGAAATAACACTGAACATACCTTCTTTCCTGAAATCTTTTCTCCTACTGAGTACTAACTTTCTTACGGAACATTTATCTATTTCAGCATTTCCTTGGTTGCTTCTGTTCCGAACTCTCAATGTAGGTATATCCTCAGGAATGCAGTCTACAACCTTTAAGCTTTCTCTGGCAATACTTGACTTACTGTCTTGAAACCATTTGTTTAAAAAAATTTTTTTTAATTTGCTAAAAAGGGCATATGCTCACCAAAGACAGAGAACAGAAAAGTGGGAAAGCACCCGCTATGGGAGGCAGATGTGCTGCAATCCCTTCTCCCCTATTTTCCCTACTCTTTGAACTTTGGGCACATAAGCACACATGCCCATTCTTTTTTTTTTTTCAAGCCACCTTCACCACTATGCCACCAGCTGGCGTGATTCTATTTCTAAACCTTCAATTTCCTTCCTAATATGACTGGGAACTCTCTAACTGCAGTTCCTACCTTCACCCTAGCAATAAGATGCTATTATGTGGGGGACCAGCAGGTGGCGTGATGGTTAGGGCACTGGACACTCCCACATAGCTGACCATGGTTCAAGTACCAGACCTGGTGACTTGCTTTCTCACTTTCTCTCTCTCTCTTTGTGTCTCTGGTTAAACTGAAATAAATTAATGAATAAATAAAAGGTTTTAAAAAGATGCTATTATGTAATTAACAATCATTCAGTATCTATAAACAATTGATCAGTTGCACTAATTATCCTAATTAGTGAGCTGGGCTATATGTATCTTTTTTAAAATTTTTTTCATTTTATTTGTTATTTTTAAATTTGATGAGCAGGAGGGAGAGGGAAAGAAAAGTGAGAGCGCAAGCCGCCAGGTCTGAGACTTGAACCGTGCTCGGCCATGTGGGAGTCCAGCACCTCAACCACCATACCATCTGCTGGCCCTGGGATACATATATATGTTTAAATGATAATCATTTTGCCTTTATTATGGATGTATTAGATACTACCTGCTTTTAAGACTTGTTCACCGAGTCAGTACATACTGATTTTTAGCTTTTTACTTTTGTAGCATTAAGAACTGGGCCAGTCTCATAATCTAGTGGTTAAAGGAGCTGGATTCCACATAGCTGACAACGGTTCAAATCTCAGCCCCAGCCGCTTAAAAAATACACCATATGTGCATGTGTGCCAAAAGTCCTGACAGTATGGAGAAACAGAGAAGGACTGCAGAACATTGCCATGCCCCATGGGGGGGAGGCAGGATGGGGGGTGTACTTTTTCCTTCTCTTTTCTTCTCTCTCTCTCTTGAGCACACACATGCCCTCTGGTAATAAACACACACCTCAAAGATATCTAGACAAAAGTCCAAGATTTCAAAACAATAAAATTAAAATGTCATATTTATCTTTTAAAAAGAAGTAAAAATGGCATAAGACCTCTCAGAGGCAAGCAGGGATGATACAGTACAGCACTGAAGGCCTTTAAAATAGTAACTGAAAATAAATTTATACTTCAAATATATCTAGTCATCTTCCATAGTACAAAGTTAGTAATAGATAAGCAGGCAATAAAAAAATTCATCTCTTGGAGTAGGAAGAATAATAAATGAGGACTGAAATGGAAAAATAATCAAGGAATAGCAATATAAACAAATTACTTGGAAATATAGAGGTAAATGCTTAAAAAACTAAAAAAGATGAAAAGGTTGTGTCTGAAGTATAGAACTCAGGGCTCAAGAGGGATGATACGAAGAATGTTTTCAGTACAACCTTTTCTCCTATTCATGTATAATTCTAACTTTAAAATTTTAAACATAAAAGCACATGACAAGGATATTTTCTATAATGAAATTCA